AAATGCAGGGCACCGACATCAAATACAATGAAAACAGGGGTTATACCGTGGGGGAGGAACATACAAATCAACAAAAGAATCACATGGTACATTATAAATACATTAGAAGCAATAGCAAGAAAGAAAAAAGACATTTGTGTCCCTATCTTGGGGTTCATTTCACTTAACATCATCTTATATGGTCATATGTACATAGCTTTTGGTCTTTTCTGCTTGTCCTACATATATACTAGTTATTGCAAATAAGGGAAACCATGGGACCTATGTTTTTTTGGGCCTGGCTTACTTCACTTAATATAATTTTTTCTAAGTCTTTCCACTTCCTAACAAATGGGGCAATGTCATTCTTTCTTATAGAAAGCGTTTTGTTTTGTTTTGCTTTTTTTCTTTTTCAGTTTTGTTGAGTTTAAACCATGCTGAGCTAGGCAACTGTTTTTTGTATATATGATGAGTCTAGGCTATGTGTAGATTCTGCAGTACAGAATGTTCTCTTCTAATGTAGTAGCTGTGATGCAAACCCAGATTGACGGGGGGCCTATGGCACAAGTAAGTCCTCACTAACTCAGTGGATATACACGTCTGCTTAAGGCAGATGCCACATCAGCACCTCCGAGTGTTATCTTTTTGGAATGCATAGTCTGAAGCTTAAGAAGAAAAGGATCCTTGAAAGAGTACATACAGAATAGCACAATTATAATTAAGACTTCAAGAGAAGAGTTTGGATACAATTTCAGAAGAGGGCAAAACGAGCATTTGATCAGGAGTACCCTGCCTCCTTTTCCTTTCAGTAGGCAGAACTAAAAATTCCACTTTCCAGAGCCTCAGAGGGGCCCTCAACTCGGCACCTGCCTCTGGGATGCAGTCAGACTGCCAAGGAAGTAATTACAGGAAGGAAAAATGCTGAACTTTCCCCTCAAACCTGGAGATTGTGGAGGAGAAGATAAGAAGGGAGGCGAGCAAATAAAATCCGTGTTGTAAATAGTAATGGAAATAGCAGACTGGGTATCTGAGTTGCTTCTGAAGATACTTCATTGGAATTTTCTTCTTTGAGTAGAATTCGAAGGAAACAACACATTTGAGTTTTCTGGGCAAATTTCCAGCTGAGTAGCACATAGTTAGTAAAGAGATTTCTGGAAGTCTCCTTTCTGTTTTAGTCGGAAACATTCAAGATACAAAACTTGCTTCAACTTTTTCTTTTAGTTGGAAAATAAGATTAAAAAAATACTGTCTTTTGTACTATTATCTTTAGTTGTACAAAGGAGTTGCCTTTAACAAAGCAGTTTATGAAAACAGTGCATTATGATCCTTGTCACTCCTTTCAATATTCCACCTCACCCCAGCCCATCCCTTCCCTCACTTTCCTTAATTTTTTAGATATGTATTGAATTGTCTGCCATGAAACAAAGTAGTTTATGTATATGATGTGTCTGATCTGTGTCATCCCTTCAACATCTTCCCCTCCCCTTCAAGCCACCCCTTCACTTACTCTTAATTTTGTGATAGACACAATTAATTCTTGACTGCATTCTCCCTGCTTCTCCCCTTCATTTGTCTACCCTTCTCTCCATGGCACTCTTCCACCTTTACAAGTACCCATTTCCTGGTACTTTTTTCTGATGGGGAGTTTTTTTTTTTTTTTTTTTTTTAATTTAGACTTGTAGGCTCACGCCTGTAATCCTAGCTACTCAGGAGGCTGAGATCTGAGGATCCCGGTTCAAAGCCAGCCCAGGCAGGAAAGTCCGTGAGACTCTTCAAGTAAACCACTAGAAAACCAAATGTAGCACTGTCGCTCAAGCGGTAGAGCGCTGGCCTTGAGCAGAAGAGCTGAGGGACAGCACCCAGGTCCAGAGTTCAAGCCCCATGATGACAAAAACAACAACAACAACAAAAACAATAGAAATGGAGGCATACATGTACCTTTTAACTAATGTTTAGTAATATAGGCAGTTAGAGAAAACATGCATTGAAGTCTTTGTAGGTAAAAAACATTCTCAGTGAGTATGTTCTGCTCACTTCTTAACACCGAGAAACTCTTCCAAAACCAACTGCCTTTACCAGGTTCTTGCATGACTCTCTAGAAATAATTTATGGTTGAATCGTGTGTAACTGTCCACCATGAAACACAAACGCTTTAGTGACTGTTCTATACCTGGCTTTTCAATAACATTCCAGTACATTTTGGAGGTTGTTCCAGATCAGTCCATAGGGAGCTCCTTCATTCATTTTAATAGCTGTATAGTATTAGTATTCAGGAGATGATGATACTAATTTATTCTATTACATGAGATGGAATTAATACTCTATTAATATTTATTGGTTGATTTAATCTTTGAATCATTATAATATTTATTAATAGTCTATGAATATTTAACAAGCCCTCTCTTGGTCTTTAAATTGCTTTCTTATACTGTTTCAAACTATGCAAAAAATACGTCATTTGGACATGTATACCTGTAGGCTAGGTGGAAGCATATGTACATTATTATTGTTAATTGTGTACACTTAGGTGTAGAACTTGATGTTTTGTGATACATACATGCAGTATGGTGGTAACTACAGTCAAGCAAGTGAAGATGTGTGTCATCTCACATAGTTACCTTTGTGCTGGTGTCGAAGAAGCCCTTCTAAAATAGACTCTCAGCACACCTCTAGTATATAACTCATTATCTCCAGTATTGCCATAGTTCCAACTGGATAGTGCTCCTCTATATTTACTCACCCCCCCTTAACCGTAACCTTATCTCTTTGATCTATACCTCTCCATTTCTCCTGGACCCACCTGTAATTCTGATAGACTGCAAAAATGTCTTTATTTGCATGTCCCTCATTCTGTCTTCACTATGTGTGTGTGAGAAAATATTTTCTCTCCACTGTTGAGATAGGTTAAAAAAATACCCCAAAACAAAAACAACACCATTCTGTGTAGTTGTATTGTGTATTGTTCTAACTGCAAGAAGGAAGATCTTTCCTCATATGCTTATGAACCATTTGTGTTCACTTTCCTGTAAGCTGACTTTTCCCTCTTTTTTGCTTTTTAATTTTTTTTAAATTGATGTTATCTAATGGAAACATTTCTTGTTTTTGATATTTAGCAGTAAATCCATTCTTTTTCTAATGTGCATGAATTTGTGTGTGTGTGTTCACACATATACAGGAAGAAAATACCTTGATAAACTCCTTTTAGTTAGGTAATTGTATAAATGCAAATATTTGAAAATATTCTAAAAGTGATACATGGTGATGAAAGTAGCACTCACTAAAATCATGGAAGCTCAAAGAATTGTAAGTTTAATGGCTGATTTCATGCTATAAAACATGCCCTAGGGGCTGGAAAGGTGGCCCAGTGGTAGAGTGCTTGCCTTGCATGCATGAGGCACTGGTTCGATTCCTTAGCACCATATAAGTAGAAAAAGCCAGAAGTGGCGCTGTGGCTCAAGGGGTAGAGTGCTAGTCCTGAACTGAAAAGCTGAGGGACAGTGTCCAGGCCCAGAGTTCAGGCCCCACCTCTGACTGACTAACTAACTAAATAAATAAATAAAACATGCCCTAATAAGGCTGTTGTAGTGTTTTGCCAAATTCCTTTTTAGTATTCTTGGGGTGATTTTATATATATGTATATATATATATAATATATATATATATATATTATATATATATATATACACACACACACACACACACAGATACATGCACCCACATTATTAAACTTATGTTCTGTTTCATATATATACACACATTATTAAACTTCTACTCCATTTATATATATATATATATTTATATATACAGTATTACACTTATGCTCCATTTACATCATGAATCGTTGAAGAAATAGAGGTACTTATAGAGTAAACCCCACTTATTGGTAGCATATTGATATTTTAGGTAAAATGTTTGTTAATTTGAAAGTTAGGATATATGTCAATATTTAAAACGAGATTCAAATGTAGTTCTTTTGTATACCTCTTTAGGTCATAATATCAGTACAATACCTCACCTCCCCTTTTTTGATAGAGGTAGTAATAATATTCATTTAGGTATGATCAGAATTATTCCATGTTGCAATACTCCCTTCCCCATCCTGTTTTGAATATTAGTGAATTTATTTGTTGTAAGGCCTATCAGGGAAGGTGACTTTTTTTGACTTTTAGTTCATTTATGGTATTGACTTGCCTGTCTTTTGACTCCCTACCACTCTGGTCATGATGTGATTCCTTAGGTCTCTGTTACCTATTGTTTACTGCCCATCTTCAGTTCATACTGAGTGAGACCCTCCTGGTGCAGGCTGAAGTGAGCTACCATTGTTGTTTTCAAGAGTGGTGGTTTATGTTACGTGGTGGTTATGCCTGCCATTCCCACTTTTATATGAAGGATGTTACCATCATTTTGTTGTTAGGATGGTGACCCTATAATGCCTGCCAGATGTTTTGCATTGCTCTGCAGAATGTTTATGTCTGTCATGTTTGCAAGTTAGGTCAGTGGCCTTCTCCTCTACCGGTGATCAAGCAGAGACACAGTGTTGGATCTTAATAGGCACCCTTGATTTATTTCAGTATTATAAATAGGTACTAAGTAATTCTAGTGAATAAAATATTTAATGTCTATTATATGGCCCCTTTGCAGAAGATAGAGAAGAGGCATGTTCCTTGTATATAAAAAGAGATTATACCCTGTTTGGAGAGATAATCTGTGATGAATGCAACATTGAATGAATAATTAGGGTAAATACATGTGTCATATACTTGTCTAAGGTAGACTAAGTTTGAGATAATTTTCAGATAGAGTATAAAGTTCCCTTTGTTGGCCAGGTTTACAAATGAGAAAACTGAAAAAGTTATAACTATGTTTTTGTTCATTCTTCTTTATTTCACGTATTTTTTAATTTGGCTAAGAAATAGCAATCACCATGCTTTAGTAATAGAGGCGCAAATATAGTGGTGCTATTATAACTTTATATTGAGTATGTTAAACATTTATTGACAATTGTTTTCTTTTTTTCATAGATTTATCTAAAAACAGACTGGTTGAAGTTCCAATGGAATTGTGCCATTTCGTGTCACTGGAAATCCTTAATCTTTATCACAATTGTATCAGAGTCATTCCTGAGGCCATCGTCAATTTGCAGATGCTGACCTACTTGAACTTGAGGTAGGTTCACTATAAAAAGTGCAATCAAATGAAGTTATTAAGCACCAAGTAATGACGCTTTCATTTCTATCATTTTTCTTCTGAGCGCTTTCTGATCTCCTTCTGAAGTTAAACATACAGAGACCATTTAGGAAATGTAGAATGTTTATAGAGCCTTTACTATTGCTTTTGGTGTTACTTCCTTGAATGCCAGTATGACAAGATTTTTCCAAGAAATAATTCTTTCAGTTTTATTTGATTTCTTCTGGTAGAATTGTGATTGGAACTCAAGATCTTGTGATTGCTAGGCAGACACTCTACTACTTGAACTACACTCCATCCCCCGTCCACACACCCTTTTTTCTTTAATTATTTCTTTTTCTTTCATCACTTACAAGTAAACTAGGTCAGGAACTCTCATTTGGCTTACTTTTTGAGTCTGACAATTTGCTCGCTACTTGGAGGTGGACTCTTGGGGATTTTTCTGCCTACACTGGCTTTGAACCATAGTCCTACAGATTTCAACCTTCCGAGTAACTCGGATTACTCTTGTAATAGTGGGTAACTGTTACACCTAGTTGATTGCACAAATGTAGATAATCTAGATAACACCGGTGGTATCTAATTAAATTATTATCTCTTCTAAAATGTTCAGTGATTTATCATCCATATGTCAGCGCTATCTGTGTAGTCTTCTGTCCTCAAACTAGCCTCAATGTCCAGCTGTCTTTCAGCTGCTAATGAGGAGGAACTCAGAATACTATGAGTGAAAGAGCTCAAATAAACAGGCAAGCTCATCTAGTTATGAGTAGCTCAAAGCATTTTCCTTGCTATGTTTCTTAAGGGTTTCTCTCTTATTTCTGTTAACCTGGGAAAATGACTTGTTATTAAATCAAGTAGTACAAACAAGTAGCTTTTCAAGCTTTACCAGTACTTAGAAATTAAACATTTGCCAACTTTGGGGGAAGGAAGTGGGGAGAGGAAAAACTTGGAGAGAATGAGGGAGGTAATGACACTGTTTAAAAGGAAATGTACCCATTACCTGAAGCATGTAACTGTAACCCTTCTGTATACACCTTTACAATAAAAATTAAAAATTAATACTATAGTATTAATTTTTTTTTGTGGTGCTGGGGATGGAACCAAAGCCATAGTGTAAGACACACACTTGGTTTACTATTGGGCTACAATCCCATCCCCATGCTCACTGGATTCTGATTTTTCCCTCTCTCTTAATAAACTGTATGTAGAAATCACTAATTTTGTACACTCCAAAGTGAGATAGATACCATATAAAAGTATGATGAATTTATGGGAAACATTCCCTGTTGATTCTCTGGGGAATACAGCCCTAAATATTCAATGATGCTGGTGATAATAATGATGGTTTTGGTAGTGGGGGTGTCATGCCACAGCTTATTTTCTTGGCTGGCATACTCTTCTCAGTGTTTTATTAAATGCCATATGACTGGTGTCAACAACTCCATTTATGTGTTAGGCTAGAGGTGGGTTTGATTAGCACATAAAAGAAATAAAACTTCACCATGAAATGCAATTAAAAACACCAAAATGTTTTCCTCCACTTTCTCACATGATGGAAATGTCATCTTTGTAGAGGAAATTGATCTATTGCTGTTTATGTAATCTGTGTTTGAAGGATCTGGCCTTTTAATCTTTGCTTCTTGGTGTTCATAACAAAAGGGTCTATTAGTGTAGTGTATGTGCCACTGTGTGTCTTCCTGTTAGAAAGTATCTAAGTCCAAGAAATGTGGCCAAGAACAATAAAGGTGAGTAGGTAAGACGTGTTCCTATCTAGGAACAAACATCTGGAACTTGAAACACTGAGAAGTTTAAAATCTGTTTTAAGTTGTTGGAAAGGTAGTTGTTGATGAAGTTCATAAATAATATATACATTAAGAAAAGAGAATGGAGCTGGGCACCGGTGGCTGAAATCCTAGATACTCAGGCGGCTGAGATCTGAGGATTGTGGTTCAAAGCCAGCCCGGGCAGGAAAGACTGTGAGACTCTTATCTCCAATAAACCCTAGAAAATTGGTGGAGCACTCGCCTTGAGCTGAAGAGTGCAGGGACAGCGCCCAAGCCCAGAGTTCAAGCCCCACGACCGACCAAAAAAAAAAAAAAGAAAAGAGAATGGCAAAGGTCTTGGCAATCGTTGGAGTGTTATAAATCTAAGAGTAGGGACCTTGGCTTAGAAGTCTTATCTTATGGAGGTTCAGGAATAGAGGCTGCCCAAAAAGGAAAGTTCAGTTCTTTACAGACTTCAGTCATTCTGCTTCCAGAACTTGGGCAAGTGGTTTTACTTTTCCCTGGTGAAACCACAACCCTTTGGGCCATGGTTTATTCATCAGAAGTCCCTGTCTGCCCCAGCCTGCTCGGACTGGGTTCCTAGGCATTGCCTGATTAAAAAAGAAAAAGAAGAAAAGAGGCCAGTCTTGCACAAAATGTTGTCGCACCATAAAAGGAATGTGTTTTGGCTCCTTTCTCTGCCACTGGTATCATTTTTTTTGGCTGTTAAACAATTTACGAAAAAGAGCCAACTTCCTGATGGCTGCTTAACCTGTATCCCCACATTCTTCTGGGACTCATTCTGAGATATGATCTTTAGTCCTCACAACCTTGTTCTCTGTTGGAGTAATCAGGTACATTAGGGTTGTCTTAGAAAACACAGATTATATTATATACACACCCATATGTATATATGTGCACAAATTTAACTTTTGTTGTCTTTTCTCTTTGTATCAACATTTCTGAAGAAAGTGCTCATGTGCTGGTTTTCTTTAGAAACTGGAGGAATTGATGGTGTCTTCTTAAACTGGAAAAAAGGAGGAGCATTGTTTAGTATAGACTTAAATCTCACATTCTTTCAATGAAGATCTTATCATTTTCATGAGATCTTATCTCAATTGAAGGGAAAATGAGAATACTTTACCATCATACACATACACATATATTATATATGAAGCTGGCCTTTGATAGCCAAATTGTGAAATGACAAATTAGCAGCAATACACCCAAATATAATGAACTGGATGGGAATGTGAAAGTATTCATCTTAAAAGTTAAAAACATTTTTCACAGAATTAGCAGAATTGGGAGAGGCTTTGTGGCATCCAGTGTATCTGTATGCAAGACTAGCCCTGTATAGTTTAAGCCTTACCCTTTCGGGAACTCTAAAGATATCTGTTTATTTTTAAATGGAATGCTGAGTTATTGGTCTCTAATGTTTTAAATGTATTTGTAAATTGTTGTGTTTGGAAAATAGTGTATGTTGGAATTGGTGGCTGTCAGGCTTTCTTATGCATGGATGAGTTAATAATTGGATATTTCTTATCAAATTCCATTCCTTTTAATATAGCCCATACTTGGCAAGACTTACAGAGAGGGTTTTTTTCCATTGGACACATCACGTATTAGCAGGTGTTGTTTTAGTTCGCTGTGTGTATTGAAAAAACAATAGTTATACAGAAGGAATATTTTGACCTTCATCTCTAGAGCACGATCAGATGTCATTGGATTTTCTTCCAGTTCTGCTTCCATTTTAATAGGATGTTAAGATCTGTGTGCTGCAGAGTAGCTGTCTGGAAATGTGGTGAATATTTACTTTTAACTCATTGTATACATTATTCATTTATAGTTAATTCTCCATGCCCAAATGAACAAGCTCTGAATCACATTTATTTTCTTAACTAGTCAGATAATTGCCATTTTATCAATAGTCAACTTATTTTATTTCCTCTAAGTATATTGCAATTTACTATGTCTTCTAACAAATGCTTTCACTATGGCTTCTAACAAGAGCTAAAAAATACACATGTACAAGAGGAGTGGATTTTTAAAAATCATCACCATCATCCTACCATTTTTCAATAATCAAGTAGAATCTAGGTATCACACTATTATATCTGAGCCCTTTAACTGTTTTAGGTATGAAATAGGAATTTTTCCTAAGTATAGAAATGAGCAGACCATATTGCTTTGCCTCTGCATAGTTTGTGATGCTCTTGCACCTTTGTTATCTTTGTCTTTTAAAAATAGTGATTTGCTATGGGGCTGGTGGCTCATGCCTGTAATCCTAGCTGCTCAGGTGGCTGAGATCTGAGGATCACAGTTCAAAGCCAGCCCTGGCAGGAAAGTTCGTGAGACTCTTTTTTTTTTTTTTTTATTGTGAAAATACTGTACAGAGGGTTACAATTACATGGGCAAGATAATGAGTACATTTCTTATCAAGCATTGTAGCCTCCTCCTTTGTTTCCCCTTCCCACCCCCCCCCCCCCGTCCCCCATCCAACCCTCCTCCCCCCCACCAAAGTTGTAAAGTTCGTTTTCGACATAACGACTTGTACATCTCATTGTTGCAATGGGTCCACCTGTATCCCTATTTAAACTTTTTGTTTTTTCTCTTCCCCTCCACAAATTATTCTGACACCAAATACAGTGAAAGCAGGGATTATTCCGTGGGGGAGGGACATACAAAGCAACAAAGAAATAATCTTATAAATGTGTTAGAAACAATCGCATGAAAGAAAAAAACATTTGAATACATATCTTAGGGTTCATTTCCCTAACATCAATTTATCTGACCTTTTCTGCTTGACTCAGACATATACTAGATATTGCAAATAAGGGAAACCATGGGACCTATGTTTCTTTGGGCCTGTCTCCAATAAACCACTAGAAAACCGGAAGTGGTGCTGTGGCTCAAGTAGGAGAGTGCTTGCCTTGAGCTGAAGAGTGGGAGCTGAAGAGTGGAGGGACAGCACCCAAGCCCAGAGTTCAAGCCCCACGACTGACCAAAAAAACCCCACCAAAATGGTGATTGTATCTTATTGTTGGTTTCTCTTTTTTCCCCTAGAAATACAAATTTATGCATTCTTTCCTTTTCTTTATTCATATTTCAACAATACTCTAATTGTGTCTGTGTGTATACATATATAAAACATGTGTTAATATGTAAATGTGTGTATATATATGTGTGTGCATATATATATATATAGTACATATA